AAATGTTGAATGAATGAATGAATGAATGTATGAATGAATGATGGACACTCAAGGACACTGCCACTAGCTCCTGGGAATGGGTTGTAGATTTTTGTGTCTCCCCACTTTCCTTTCCTCTCACTTTCCTTGCTGTGGTCTTTCTCTTCCATCTACTTCCCTCTTTCATTACATTCTCTTAATTCCTTTAACCAAACAACACTTCTGAAGACCAACACCATTTAAGTCACTAAGCTTTCACTGTTAAAGACATAAAGTAGACACAAACCCCTTCCCATGAGGACCCTATAATCCTCATTCTTGCATTTTATATCAGAGTTCATGAACATCCCAGATTCCCCAAACTGTGATTTGTTACCAGTTTCCCAGAACAGTCCTAATACCAGATAAATGGGCCTGTCAAACCCACAAACACTCATCACTGCCCGTTGCTGGGTACTTTTGATGGAGTGAGTATGCAGTGTGGCTGCACGCTCAAATACAGAGTTCCAGGGATCACCAGCAATATGAGAACAAGGCCGTGATGGGAACAACGAAGATGCATGTTCCATAGACTGTGTGTTCTGCTCCCTGTGGCCCCAATAAACCTTCTTAACTCCCTAGTATCATATTCAATTCTTGGAAAATCTATGTGTATCCCATGGGCATTTCAGCTCTTCTCACTCCCTGTGGGCAAAACGTTACTGCTTCTACTCTGGCTGGATGCCCCGTCTTGTCACATTCATACATACTTGGCTGGTTTCATGTCCTTCCCTGACCAGAGACTATTTTTCTAGAAATTATTCCAAAGCAGGGACAGATCTAGGTGGTCATGTTTGAGGGAGGAAAATGTCAAATGTCCTTGCTCCCCTGGCCCCTGATGACCAGATTGAGTAGTCTCCCTATCCAAAGAGAACAGATTCAAAGCTAGGCTAGGAATCAATTCATAGACTGGGCTCTCTCTCTCTCTCTCTCTCTCTCTCTCTCTCTCTCTCTCTCTCTCTCTTTCTCAGAATTAGAATTAGGAAACATTAAGAAACCCATCATCATTGGTATGACATATAAGATTATTCAACACAACGTCAGGGTTGGGCCATGTGCAAATAAAGAATGCTGTCTAAGATGATAAAATGGAATCAGTTGGGCACAGAGAGAAGCAAAGCAAAATGACAGAGACCAGGAGGGATGAAGAAATAAGCTCTGGTCCTTAGCAGCTTCCCAGAGCTCATTTTCATGAGGTCTGGTGTGATCTGATCCATGTGTTCATGGGACTCTACCTGGACCCTTACCTAGCTGGCCTGAATAGAGTTTTGTTCCTTGCAACCTAAGGGCATTATTCCAAGCACATCTTTCTACAGAGTTCTCTTTTGGACCTGTCAAATTTACCCTTTCTATAGAACTCTGGTCTTAAACTCAAACTCATCTGTAAAGATATGAACTCAGTCTTCTACCCCTTGAAGAAATTACCTTGGCTCACCTGCCAGGAAATTTCCTGCAGGCTGACCTACCTGCATGCTCTCCACAGGCTTCTGCTGTCTCCTCTTGAGTCAGCCTATTAACTAGCACTACAATTACCCACCCATAGGCATGCACTACCTAACTATAACTTTTTAAGCTAATGACTTTTAAACACATTTTAAAAGTAATGTTATTGGCTACTGGAGGTAATAATAATAATAATAATAATAATAATAATAATAATAATAATAAAACATTCTAGATATGTGCTTTGGTTTTGTGTACATTGCTTCACTGTGGCAATTCAAAGAACCATAAAAATAAGCGTGTTTATCTTCTGTTTCAGGGCCACTCTTTTCGCCTTCTCTCCTTGCCAGGGATAAAGGTGACAAAACTTTTTTTCAAATATAGTTTGTTCTAGTTTATACAAAGTGCTCACAACCAATATAAACAAAGAAAAGCCTTTCAATGTAACAGATATCATTGGTTTTCAGTTCAAAGATCTCAAGTTTAATAAAGTACTTGGATAAAGTATAAAATAGGAAGATGAAATGCAGGTCACATAAAGAACAACCAAGGAGTTATTATACCTAACACTCACTGGTCCAAAGGCAGGATACTTGGTTATTCACTCGGCTACTGCTCAGAATCAGGATTTAGTACAACTTCATAATTATTTGATGACATCATTGTACTCAGTGGATCTAAAATGGGGAGTGTAGATGTCATTAAACTCAGCTGGTGTTCAGCTCCAATTAAAGACATGTCTAATTGCAAACCTGCTTATGACTGTCTTTGAGTACAACAGAGGGTGCCAAAAAATGAATACACATTTTTAGAAAGCAAACAACTGTATTAATTGTAATACTCAATATATACTTATAACAAAAGATGAATACTAGTCACGTTTGACTTCTGCAATTACAAGAGGTGCTCAAAGTGGTTACCATCAGCATCCAGACGCTTCTGATTATGACAAACTACTGCTTGAGCATAGATAACATCTCTTAAAATGTGTGTTCATTGTTTTGGCACCCCTGGTATTTACTCACTTATCACATCCTCAAATAATCTGCAACAAGAGGATTTCTGGGGAGGTAAGTGTGTGAATCTTTTGAATCTCTCAGTTTGGGAATACAGACAATAGGTTTATGGAAGATACTTTTAGCCACACAACAGAGAAGAAAATGCAATATTTAAAGCACAGAAACAATGCAGCAGAGAGATACATTTTGTGATATCTTCCCAACTCTCTAGGATTTCCCATCTTAAAAACCTCTCTCCCAAATAAACGGGGATGGAAATGGAGTGGCCTGGGTTTGTAACCCTGTTCCAGCATTCATTAGCTGCTATACAAATTATTTAACTGTCTTTCGCTTGGTAGCTTTGTCTATAAAATAGGCATAATACTCTCAGGGCTGTTGTGATGATCAATGAAGATAATGCTTAGAATAGCACTTGGCACTTAGTAACTAATAGATGTCAGCCATTATTCCTTATTGCCATGCTCCTGGCCTCACTGATTCATGGTGCAACCATCAGGTGTCTCTCCTGGAACTTTGGAATTGGGATGAAGTTAGTCTTTCCTTTGGAAGTGGGATGAAGTTAGTCTGTCCATGGGACCTGGAGTCCGAAACCTTGGTACATACTTTGCTTTAAAGTCTGAGGATCAGAGAATGAGAGTCCTCAAAGTAAGGACTAAACAGCCTCAGTAGGAGAAAGTCCAACCTGGGTTCTTCATTGTTTTCCCTTTCCTGCTTCAGGTCCTGGGCTGGGCCTGCTGGCCTTTCTGCCCTTGGTTTCTATGGGACAGCAGCTTGCTTATAAAAATCTATCCTTTGTGCTTAGACTAACTCCAGGGCTCTTTTACTTGCAACCAAGAGTCCTAACCAAGGCATCTACACCTAGAAAAAAGATGAAACCTGCTTAACAAGAAAAAGGAGGAAGTGCAGACTTTACAATCCCTGTTAATATCAGAGTGAAAAGGATTAAAACATGCCACCAGTGAATGGTTAAGATAGTCCCTTTGTCTAATGAAGGAGTATTGGGAATCTTTCCCAGAAACTCTGTATAAACCTGCTTTTTTTTTTTTAATTTCCAGGATTTGATCCTTTTTGATCCAAAGACATATGAGATTAGGATTTATTTTAGAGTTTTGTTAAAAAAAAAGGTGCCTTCTCCTGTTTATTGCAGGAGAAGGCACCTTTTTTTTTTTAACAAAACTCTGAAATAAATCCTAATCTCATATGTCTTTTATACGTGGATTCTAAGGAGCTGAATGGATGGGAGAAGTGGACGGAGATAGTCTCAGAGACACAGAGGAAGAACTGAGGGTTCTAGCAAGTAGGGAGGGGGTGGGGATGAAGGAGAAGGGGAAGGGATGAGACAATACAATTGGGTAATTGTAATTTGGCCGCAGGGATAGA